GTTGCATAATTTTTGGTTTGTACCGAATCCCTGACTGTCAGCTTACTAAATGAAAGTACACACAATATGCTCGGTGAACTAAGGGATCATTCAACTTTTTAAAAAAAATCAATAAAAATATCTTTGTGATCCTCGATATTTCATGTTTCACAATGGGTGAGAGTTTCTAATAGAAATAACAAGGAATTCTGTGCAGAAAAACCCATGGGTCTGCCCCAGCTCTTTCAGAGGGCAATCTGGTTAGTTCCAGTCTCCTCACTCACACCCTATGTCGTTGCAAAATTTTCTCTTTTAAGTGTGTAATTCCATTTCAAATGTAACTATTGAATCCGAATCTACCATCCGTGCATTCCAATTTCTAACAACATGTTGCAAAAGACAAGTTTTTCCTTCTGGTGCCTCTGGTTCTTTGGTTAATCATCTTAAAACCATGCATTTTGGTTACGAACACTTCAGCCTGGCTGGAAATACCTTCATTTTCTTCCTCAAAAATCCTTCAGCATTTTAAAACTACTCTTGGCTTCTTCTGACTTGACTCCAGTGAAGACAACTCCAGTTTCATCAGTCTCTCCAAATGACTCGTTCCTCATCCTTGAAACTATTCTAGTGAACCTCTGCAAATCTAAAGCCTTCACATCCTTTATGAAATAGCATTTAGCATAATACTGTAGCTGGAGCTGAGCAAATCATTTATAAAGATTTTGGATAACTGCCAGGTTTTTATACACTCTACGTCTATGTTTTTAGAGAACAAAGAGGAAGGGACATATTCTGCGGCCCAGACAGAAGACCTAACTAGCTAACAGACTACTGATGAGATTTAGGAGACTTCAGTATTTGTTTCCATTCCCCACCCCTCCCCATCTCTTTGCCAGCTGCTATTTTAGCTGTTACCCTTACAGCCAAGTCATTAAGTGGGAAGTGGAGAAAGCCAGTGCATGAATATACCAACTCCAAGATCAGACTGCATAGAGAAGCTGTGGCCATGCTTTGAGTGTACAACATTTCGAACTAGATACCACACCCCAATATTTGTGGAAAGGAGTGGAGATGCACATTTGTCAAGCTGGGTGAAGTCCAGTAATCCAGGGCCATGTTAGGATTATTTTATTCCGTATCCCACCAACACTGCTGCTCCTCCTGGTCCATAGACACTGGATCTGGCTGCTCCCAACTTACCTCGAACAATGGTGGAAACAGCCATTCAGTGTTAAATTCACATGGTGTCAAAATCAAAGGAACAGAGTCCTATTTACATGTTATAGCGATAAAGTTATCCAGAAGGTTGCGTGGGTGCCGCCAACTCAGTAGTTAAAATTTAATTTATTCTGTTAGCGCTGGGTTGGACTCGATATCACAAATTAACCATTACAATAACTGTCTCTTCCTTAATCCTGTCATGAGTGAGAGAGGGCAAAGTGTGTATATGCAATGACTAGGCTTTGTTTATTGTCTTTGAGTTATATTTTCTTACCTTGCTCCAAGCAGCCTGCTGTACTGACAATGGAAATATATTCAATAAGCAAATGAAATGCAATAATTAATATGCACATAAAAAGTTAATGATTGGCATTTTGCTAAATAAGTTTTTTGTTCACTGTAACCATGATATTAGCTAATTGACATCATTAAAAAATAGATGTGAAGTTACAGTTACAAGAATTGGATTCAAGAATGACCTCAAATGGAAACCAACAGCAAACTCATTTCCGACAAAAATAGAGATTATTAATGTTCAACTCACTTTATGCCCAAACATTTTGAATTCGAAGATGGTTTCTTTGGCATATTATGAAAAATAAATTCTGTAAAAGTCTCCAACTCATCCATAGATTGTTTCACACCCACTTCACAAGTACACACATATATCTAATCTTATCAGTTTGCTAATAACAACCCATATCTCTCTGATGGTGCAGTGGTGGTGACACTGAACTGGTAGTCCAGAGAATGAGGTGATATCCCTGGAAATGTAGTTCAAATCCTACCACGGCAGCTGGTAGAATTTAAAAGGGGAGGTGATGGCCTTGTGGTGACTAGTAATCCAGAAATCAGCTGGTGACCCGGGTCTGAATGCCACCCCAACAGATAGGGGAATATGAATTCAATAAAAATATCTGGCAGGAGTCGCATTCATTCAGTCAGGTGGGAGTTACACTGGGACTCCTCAAAATTGGGATGTGGACTCCATAAATTCACATGGCATCAGATCAAACACAGGCACAATAACTTTCTGCCAAGTTATCATGTATCACCTTCCCTCTGCTGATGAGTCAGCACTCTTCCATGTTGAGCAACACTTGGAGAAAGGAATGGGAGGAGCTGGGTGTGGAATTTCAATATTTATCACAGACAGCCTCGACAGCACCATTACTGATCGAGCTGGTTGGGTCCTAAAGGACATAATTGCTGGACTTGGACTTGCAGCAGCTGGTGAGGGAACCAACAAGACAGTAAACATACTTGACCTCATCCTTACCAGTCACTGGCTGCAGACACATCTGTCCATGACAGTATCGGTCAGAGTGATCACCACACAGTCCTCATGGAGACAAAGTCCTGCCTTCACATGAAGATTACCCTCCATCATGTTGTGTGGCCCTATCACCGTGCTAAATGGGACAGACTTCAAACAGATCTAGCAACTCAATACTGGGCATCCACGAGGCGCTGTGGGCCATCAACAGCAGCAGAATTGTACTCCAGCACAATCTGTAACCTCATGGCCCGCATATCCCCCACTCAGCCATTACCATCAAGCCAGAGGATCAGCCCTGGTTCAATGGAGAGTGCAGAAGGGCATGCCAGGAGCAGCACCAGGCATACCTACAAATAAGGTGTCAACCTGGTGAAGCTACAAAACAGGGCTATTTGTATGCCAGACAGCATAAGCATCAGGTGATAGGCAGAGCTAAGCAATCCCGCAACCTTGCATTTGACCACCAATGTGCAAAATTGCCCAGATATGTCCTATACACAGAAAGCAGGACAAATCCAACCATGCCAATTACTGCCTCATTGGTCCACTCACAATCATCAGTAAAGTGATGGGAAATGTCATCAATAGTGCAATGAAGCAGGACCTACTTCGCAGTAACCTACTCAGTGACGTCCAAGTTGAATTTCACCAGGGCCACTCAGCTCCTGACCTCGTTACAGCTTTGGTTCAAACATGGACAAAACAGCTGAATTCCAGAGGTGAGGTGAGAGTGACAGCCCTTGCCATCAAGGCCACATTCGGCTGAGTGTGGTATCAAGGGGCACCAGCAAAACTGAAATTAATGGGTATCAGGGGGCAAACCCTCTGCTGGTTGGATTTATACCTGGGATATAGGAAGATGGTGGCGATTGTTGCTGCTCCATCTCAGTCCAGGATCTCTCAACAGGATTTCCTCAGAGTAGTGTCTTAGGCTCAACCATCTTCAGCTGCTTCATTAATGACCTTCCCGCATAAGGTCAGAAGTGGGGATGTTTGCCGATGATTGCACAATGTTCAGCACCATTCGTGACTCTTCAGATACTGGAGCAGTGATTGTTCAAATACAACAAGATCTGGACAATATCCAGACTCAGGCTGAAAAGGGGCAAGTGACATTCGTGCTGTACAAATGCCAGGCTATGATCATCATCAATAAGAGACAACCTAACCACTGCCCTTGACATTCAATGGTGTTACCATCACTGAATCCCCACTATCACCATCCTGGGGCATCACCACTGACCAGAAACTCAACTTGACTCACCACATAAATACAGAGGCTTCAACAGCAGGTGAGGGGCTAGGAATACTGCAGTGAGTAGCTTACTCCTGAATGTCCACAATCTACAAGACACAAGTCAGGACTGTGATGGAATACTCTCTGCTGGCCTGGATGGGTACAGCTCCAACAACATTCAATAAGCTTGACATCGTCCAGGACAAAGCAGCTCACTTACTTGGCACCACATCAACGACATCCACTCCCTTCACCACTGACATTCAGTAGCACCAGTGTGTACTATCTACAAGATTCATTGCAGAAATTCACCAAATATCCTTCCAACCTACAACCACTCCTACCTAGATGGACAAGGGCAGCAAATACACGGGAACACCACCACTTGCAAGTTCCCCTCTGAGCCGATCACCATCCTGACTTGGAAATATACTGTCGTTCCCTCAGTGTCACTGGGTCAAAATCCTGGAATTTCCTCCCCAGTAGCATTGCAGGTCTACCTGCAGCACATGGACTGCAGCAGTTCAAGAAGGCAGCTCACAACCACCTCCTCAACGGCAGCTGGGGATGGGCAATAAATGCAGACAGCCAGCGTTTTATACTGAAGCTCAAAGAGAAATCATTCGTTTCCTCTCCTTAAACTTTTTTGCTATTTTATTACAGATCATTTGGATTAATGTTACAACAATGCATATTTTCACTTTCTTTACACACCACAACTTTTGGTTAACTGGTTTACATCATATAGTCAAAAAACTTAAAGGATTGAATAGCTACAAATCCATAATTTTTGCTCTCCTAACAAAATGCTCCTGACATCAATCTATCAGCATATCTTTCTCAGTTAAATGCATCAACGATGAAAACACTTAAGCCCTAAGTGGTTCAAACTTTAGGTGGTAGAGTGTTTCTATTTGTTCAGAAGAGCAAATTAGAGATTATCAATAAAAGATAATTCAGAATGCACTTCTTTACCCAGTGAATCTCTAACTCACTACCACGTGGACCATTCGGGCCAAATACTCTGCAGATAAATCGGACAGCACGTAGGAGAAAGCACTTGAGGATTTTACTCATAGATGCCGAAAAATTGTAGAATTGCTTTGAATGAAATGTTAGCGTAATATGGACTGGTTAAAGTTAAAAAGATTCTGCCTTACAAAATCTATGCAATCACATGAATACTGACTTTGAGATAGTGTCAGCAACACAGTTATGTTGTCTTTGCTGGATGCATGTGATAGTACACAAACATTAAATGACAACTGCTCTCTTCATCCTCAGATTAATGGTGCAGCAGGGACATAAAGAAAGCGAGGTTTGCCTTAATCCAGAATCAAGGCAGGGCAAGAGGCTTCAGAAGTGCTGGGAAAGGTCAGTATAAAACATTCATGTTTGGCTCAACACAGGGCACTTACTTCAAGGCATTGAGACTTTCACTCACTTCAACTCCACAACAATTGGAGCTCAATTAAATGTCTGCTTCCAATGGTCTGGCCATCCTACTTCAAATAAAAAGCATTCTATGATTTTGTGTGCTTTGGCGCTATGAACTACTTATGTGGTGCAACAGTTCTAAAATTGGACAATGCAACTTAAGATCAAACTAAAACCTGAACCAAGGTAAAACACACCTGAGAGACTCCCTTTCCTTTGAGAGATCCAGGGGTTCAATTAATGGGGTTAGCTTACACAAACATATGTTCAATGCAGAAGACTGAGTTGGTGATCAAATCAAGATGTTTAAAATGTTGAATTACTAGTAAGCGGTTTTCATCATCATTTTACCAGTACCAGATACATTGAATTCAATCCACAATCACCATAGTGGGATTTAAAGTTTGAAATACTGTCACTGGATTACAGGTCTTGTAGGACTACAACAGTACACTACCCCAAATCCAGCTGTCTAAAAAAACAGAACTATCTAAAGAGTGCGCATTTTCATATTAGAGAACTTCCTATATGAACCACTGCACAATGGTTTTAGTCTGCTTGAGAAATGGCTGCCTGGGAACAGCCATGCTAAAAGGGCGGTCATTGACAAAACTGTTGTACATTAGGTCATCTTGAGGGCATCTTTAAGAATGTTGTGTACACAAAGATAACAAGAAAGCAATTCATTTAAGGAAATTTGAGAGTAACTAGCAATGCATGAAATGGCCTGCAGGTTAAACCTCACTCTGGAATGATTCCAGCTTGGAGTAGGATGAGATTATCATCACTTACAACCTCTACTAGATTCTGATAGGCAACATGACCACAACATTTAAAAATGTCTCTCTCAAACTGCTAACCAAAAATTGGTATTGCATAAAAAATAGGTGTGAACCTGACACATTGAACTCCGTGACTGAAATAACTGCATAACAGTATGAATTACTTTGAATGAAATGCCAAGTTGAATGTCTAAAATCTGGGAAAATCCCCTCATTTTCGGACATTTTATTTCAGTAGCATTCATCTCAATACACATCAATGATTGTTGGGGATTTTGTGCATGTTGCTTTGAATAACAAAAAACATGCTGACTGGATTAACAAACTATTTCTGAGCCTACTAAAGGGACTTTACTTTCTGATTGTGCAAGTTCATGCATGAACTGAAGGATAAGGTCAGGCACAACAAACATTGTGTGCAGGTGACTTCATGTTATAAACAAACATCAAACTTTTGATTTGGTTGCTTGATTATGTGCTTTACAGTCAGCATTAGTGTGGGAAAGAAGCATGGTTTATGGCATGAATGCAGATCAACATTATATTCAACACAAAACAAAATGGCTGGATTCCTGACATGGGAGGGTAAAGGGTGCAGTGGATAATAGATTAATGCTGATACTTACCAGAAGCATGGGCGGTTAAATATGACTAGGTTAAATGGCAAACTTTTGATCAGTGCAACATTTCTTTTCTCCACAATGAACGCACTTGACATGCTTCATTCTCATTTACAGAAAAAGAAATTCTCTCCACAGATCAATCATCATGCAAAATCTTGTAAAATCATTTACATGATCTGAAAGCAGATTGTGTGATTAAAAACTGAAAGAACTGTGGATGCTGTAAATCTGTGACAAAAACAGAAGTTTTTGGAAAGGTTCAGCATGTCTGGCAGCATCTGTGAAATCAGAGTTAACGTTTTGTGTCCAGTGATCCTTGGGTCTGATTTCTCTTCACAGATGCTCAGCAGATCTGGCAGCATCTGTGAAGAGAAATCAGACCCAAGGGTCACTGGACTCTGATTTCACAGACGCTGCCAGATCTGCAGAGCTTTTCCAGCAATTTCTGTTTTTGTTGCAGATTTTGTGATCTTTGTTCTAAAAATATGATATTCATTAGACTAGACACACTTGTAGATATCGGTTTTAAAAATCTTCCTTCTTTAGGGACTGCTGTAACACTTTACTCCTTCATGCACTCAAGACAGATGCCAGTGACATTTCAGCACCATGACCAATTCTAATGTGCAAGGGAAAGCAATGACAACAGCAAGTTATTTGACCACGTTCCATATAGTTAATCTACATGTAGAAGAAAAACTCAAACATTACATTTAGCCAGCTATTATATAAGGTGCAGTAATAGTTCTGAAGGGGTTAATGTCCATGTTATATTGAGCTCCACCCAATCTGATGATGTCCCATGGTCTTTGGGTGGAGACAGTTGCTAGCTGCATGGGTTCACAAGAGGAGAGGTATTCTACACAGCACCTGTTAGTCCTAAGTGATTACGCCTAGCAAGCTGTAAACTGTACCTATTACTGTCATGCAACAAAATATATAGCTTATGTAAGAATAAGTGTCTGTTCTGTTTAGATTCCCCAGTGGTCTATCCCCTACCACTGATAATTAGATAAGCCCTAGACTAAGCATAGAGGAAGGAAGGATTAGTGGAACTACTCAAACCAGAATAGGACATGCTGTTGGTGATGCAGAGATAGCTTAAAATACAACATTGGTTAAACCAGCTAATGGAGTGCATCACTGTGATGCATCGTTCACTTATGAGTCAGCCTACTGAGTTGTTATGTATTCCATGATCTGTCCTGACTGACCTCAGTTGTGCACTGGGGAGTGTTCTAAATTTTCCATTTGTGAATCAAGTATCTGTCTGTCATGATTTGTGGCTATGGTTGAGGGTTGCCCACAATGTTACAGCCCAAAGCGAATAGCACTCAGCTGACATCTGCATGCGTAACAATGGCAACTAAACTTTTAAGGGCACTTTTACACCACAAATGCAGCCTGGAGGTCTGATGAAGAGTTACTGGGTTCGAAGTGTTGACTCTGCTTTCTCCCCACCACGCTGCCAGGCCTGCTGAGTTTCCCCAGCAATTTCTGTTTGTCTTTCAGCCCAGAGCAGTTTTGTGGTCTAAACAAACACCAGAACGAAAAAAACCGAGAGCCCCTGGAGAGGGGTATTTCAATCCACATTATAGCAGAATCAGTTTGCAGTAATCCTACAATTTGACAAATGATCAGCATCAGTGCAGGCCAAATTCAAGAAATCATTTGTGTAAAGTTTGGCTGTTGTATCACAATAAGCACCAGTTAACTCAGGAGACTTGGATGAAATAAGCCATTCTGCAGACTTAAGATTATGGCTCATTAACATGCAGGCCCGTCCCACCGGGAAAATTTGACTATGCTTTGTTCAAACTACAACTCTTAAACCAAATAAACACAAACTTTGGAATTCCAATTCATTGCTATTTCAAAAGGGTCAGAGGCTACGATCTGGATAGTTACAAGAATGATGGGGAGCCAGTCTGTGCCTTGGAAGCACAGAAATACCAGCAAGCAGAGGCCCTGCCAAATTTAAGTGGCAGAATTATTTACCGTGTTTCCATGCCTGACAGCTGGGAAGATGGAAGGCTGGGAGATCATGCTCTTCACTAGAAGTTAAATGCTTTCAGAAGAGGATCAGGCATACATTTTCCATTTAGAACGTTATTTTAACTAACCACATGCCTTGAATCCCAGCCATCTGTCGGCTTTATAGAGATTCTCTAATCAACCTATTCAGATCATGTTGTGACACATCTCTGCAGCAAGGGGGACTTGAACCCTGATCTTCTGTCCCAAAGGTAGGGACACTACCACATTGTCATGGGAGCCATTATAACACGAGTTAAGTCACACTTTAACCTTCTATATGACAGGGAGACTCTTCTTTTTAATCAACCTGTTCACAGATGTTGCTACACACTTCTAGAATGGTTGAAACATAGGGAAATATCCTCTTAGTATTTGCCCTGTCAAGTCCCATATAGCATTCTTAAAGGGGTGTGACAGGGTAAATACTGTGAGGATGTTTCCCTTCATGGAACAGTCTAGGACCAGAGGGCATTAGGACGCTAATTTAAGACTGAGATGAGAAGGAATTTCTTCCCTCGGATGGTTGGAATTTGGAATTCCCTATCACAGAGTTCTGTGGGGGCAGAGACCTTGTGTATATTTATGGCTGAGACAGCTATGACCCGACTGAATTGTAGAGAAGCCCTGAGGAACCAAATGGCCTACTTCTTATGGTCTTCTTAAGGATCCCAGGCCTGCTGGCTCAGAGGTAGGGACACTATCACTGCACCACCATAGACCCTGACACATTTGAATCTAATAGATTAATTAGTTCAACTGCTAGGTATTCAGCATCCTACTAACAGAATTACACACTAACAGATCACAGGGAAACATTAAAACAGCTTTGGGGAGAAAAGGAAAGGATCACAAAGGGATTGATCAGCTGGTTACCTGCAGACAGGTGTCTACACATCTGCACATTATGGCTTGTTTCGTTTTCCCTTTGTCCAACATATGGCTGTTTCAGGATCTTAATACGTGTGATGCATAACTCAGATTAGTAAAACACTTGAGTTAAACGTGCGGTACTATAACTATATTGTAACATTAATTTGATATAAATGTCAGCCAATTGAGCCAGTTGGTCACTTGGATGCAAAGCTAGCATGTGCAACTTCTGAGGAAGGGTCACCAGACCCGAAACGTTAACTCTGTTTTTTCTTTCACAGATGCTGCCAGACCTGCTGAGCTTTTCCAGCAACTTTGTTTTTGTACCTGATTTACAGCATCCCGCAGCTCTTTTGGTTTTTATGTCCAACTTCACTCCTGACAAGGCAATTCAGTTCTATTCCTGAAACTGGAATAAGTTGCAACAGCGCAACTTAAAATGAGACAACCCAAATTAATAATACGAGTTGTTTGCAATGAAAATAAAAGGCACGCAGACAGACCAGGTTGTAAAAAATTCTTTAGAGCCCTTATTGAAAAGTAAGTGTAAGCAAACCTTTTAGGATGGATGATGCCAACTGAACTCTGATTAACAGTGCCACACTGTGGAGAAAAAAAATCCCACAGAGAAATCACATTGCAAAGACAAGAGAACAAAAAGAAAGACCCAGAAGATGCAGATCAGTTATTAATTGTGGTGAGAGAAATAGATTTTAAAATTTTACATCAAGTTTGCAAGATCTCCAAAACAGATTTATTCGAAGTGCTGGCAGTGAACATCATGACTGTAATCCCCTCAATCTTATGTTTAATGGATAGGAAATCTTGGGGAATGTGTAACTTCCTGATCCATGCTTCTAAGGTCGAGATTCCATTCTTTTGGAAAATTCATAGAGATGCAAAGTCTTTGCATATAAAGCAAAGTAACAAGACCATTCAGCTCTGCAGTAAAAGATGACATTATGGAAATAACATGTTGTTTGCAGCTGCTGAAGCCTGTGATTCACCTATTTGGGTTTCCAACTTCTCTGGAATTCTTCTCTGAAAGAGCTGAATCAGTGTGCAGTCCCTGCATTGCCACCAGTCCTATGTGATCATCAGACAATAAGCACAAACATGTTACTCAACAGGTAAGCCTCTGCAAATCCTATCCTCAAAATCAGAAGTTGCATGACACCAGGTCATAGTCCAACAGGTTTATTTTAAATCACAAGCTTTCGTAGCACTGCTCCTTCATCACCGACAAAGGAGCAGCGCTCCGACAAACTGGGGATTTCAAATAAACCTGTTGGACTACGACCTGGTGTTCTGCAACTTCTGACTTTGTCCACCCGAGTCCAAAACTGGCAACTCCGAATCGATCCTATCCTTGCCCAAACCCAGACTGTCCTGAAAGGGCTTCCAGGTACCACGAAGCAGAAACCATACTGAATGAGTTTTCCTCCAACCCAATCCAGAAACACTTCAGCTAATCCAGCACATATTTGAGGATTAAACTCAATGGTAAATATCTGCAGAGAAGCTTTGATGAGTTAATCTCTCCCACTCTACACTGGCAGGGGAATAAAATGGAATTTGGAAGAAAGGAGTGGTAAATGGCCTCGTCCACCATTGTGGGGCTTTTCTAAAGCAAAAATCTGAAGGCCAACAATGTAAAATTCTACTTTGCGTTATGCCTTTAAAGCTATTACAATTTCCATGATTTTCAAGATACTTCAGAAGCTTCACTGAATGCAAGCACGAACTGTGGAATGTACAATTTACCAGTCAGTGTTTTTCTTTGTTACAGTACTCAGAAAAATCCAAACAAAAGGAAAGAATGTTTTAAAAGAAAAGCAAGGAAGGATTCAAAGAAGAAGAAAGGACATAAAAATGGAAACTCACAGTCTAAACACCAACAGCTTTAATGCTGCTGTCATCGTCTGCAACACTTCTAGCATGTACAGAGCTGCAGGAAGTTGGAGAAAGGTGATGGATTGCAGCATTACGGCCTGTTTTGATCCTGAATTGTGCAGTACAGTTCTTGAAGACTTCTTTTAATTCTTGCTCTTCAGTTTTTGTTAAAATAAAAGCAGTTAAGATTTATTTTTCCATAGATGTTACGTGCTTAGTTGTAACTGGAATAGAAGCTATTGTCCACAGTCATCAGAGGACTGGAACTGTATATATGGTTAATTAAACACACTGAACATTAAACTAATGTCATTTCAAACTGGTATATTTTAGATCATAGATCCTAGAGACAAACTAGTTGTAAAGTGGATATTATGTATTTTCTACGTAGCATTGAGATTACACAGGTCAAGTTAGATAACAATAAACTTACTTCAGGCACATTTCAGGTTGTCAGCTGACTTATTTCCACTGCTATTCCTAGTCACCCGGTAGTCAGGCATGTTCACAGTTTCTCTCCAAATATTTCTACCTGTGAGGAAACAGCCGGCCAGAAAATCATGGGTAAATTTGGCAAAGGACAGAGAGGAATACGAACCGTTCAGGGTTCATGGTGGGATTTTTTTTCAAGGAGCCACACTAAGTTTCTTCAATGGCTTAGTATTTCGTTATGTATTTCAATTTTTTTTTATACAAAGATGATTTATAATGCTTCTGTACTTGAAAAAAAAGTTAAATAAAACAAAAGATATTGAAGAAAGTGCACTTGTCTAATTTACTCTAGAGATTTAGTTTACGTTTTCTATGTTCCAAATTTTCAATCCCTCCTCCAGAAGAAAAAAACAACTTCAATGTCACTATATCCAGAATTTACAGAAAGGACCCAGAACGCAGAAGATATACATAACTGCACTCATACTGTAATAACACAGGTTGTTGATTGCACTTTAAATTTAAATAGTAGTTCGTAATGCACTGGACATGGCACAGGCTGCCAAATGGGTTGTGTGTTTCCTTTGATCTTTCCAGCACTGACAAGATTTCTATCTGCATAAAATGTACAGCACAGAAATCAGAGGAGACCATTCAGCCCAACCAGATCATGCAGATGCTCGTGCTCCACTTGAGAGCCTTCCCATCCTTCCTCACCTAATTCTTGGCAAAACCTTCAATTCTATTCTCACTACTACTTATCCAGTTTCCTATACTGCTCACCTCAAATATTCCATTTGGTAGTAAGCTCAAAAACAAAAACAGAAGTTAATATCAAGAGTAAGCAGTGGTCTCAATAATGGTCATTGTGGAATCCCATTTCCCACCATTCCAAATTAATTGCCTTTACTGTTGCTCATGCTGCCAGCTCGCTATCCATTCTGCCACTTGCCTCTGATTCTGACCTTGCAGACTTTTCAACTCACAGAGTCAGAGAAATGTACAGCACAGAAACAAACCCTTTGGGGGATACCAGATATCCTAAAATTATTCTGGTCCCATTTGTCAGCATTTGGCCCATATCCCTCTAAACCCTTCCTCTTCATATATCCATCCAGATGCCTTTTAAATGTTGTAATTGTACCAGTCTTCACCATTTCCTCTAGCAGCTCATTCTATACACGTACGACTGTCTGCATGAAAAAGTTGGCCCTTAGGTCGCTTTTATATGTTTCCCCGCTCACCTTAAACCTATGCCCTCTAGTTTTGGACTCTCCCACCCTGGGTAAAAAACCTTGGCTATTCACCCTATCCATGCCCCTCATGATTTTATAAACCTCTACTAGGTCACCACCCAGCCTCCGACACTCTAGGGAAAATAGCCCCAGCCTATTCGGCCTCTCCCTAAGGCGCAAACCCTGCAAACTCAGCAAATCCTCGTAAATTTTTTCTGAACCCTTTCAAGTTTCACAACATCTTTGCTATAGCAGGGAGACCACAATTGAACGCAATATTCCAAAAGTGGCCTAACCAATGTCCTGTACAGCTGCAACATGACTTTGCAACTCCTTTACTCAATGCCCTGACTAATAAAGGGAAGCATACCAAACACCTTATTTACTACCCTGTCTGCCTGCGACTCCACTTTCAAGAAACTATAAAGCTGCACCCCAAGGTCTCTTTGTTTGGCAACACTCCCCAGGGCCCTACTATTAAATGTATAAGTACTGCCCCGACTTGCCTTTCCAAAACGTAGCATGTCACATTTATCTAGATTAAATTCCATCAACTCATTTTTAAATTAGATGTCCTCCTCACTTTATCAACTCCTTGGTAAGATACAGCTGTTAGTTGCTCTTTAGTACCCATCCATAGGATGACTAACAGCGGCTATCAGCAGAATATTAATATCATCGTGAAGACAGTAGTGTCTTCACTGAACTTCCTGCAGTGGTAAAAAGAAGGGGAACCCCTGCCAATCTTTCCAATTTATGGATGTGGTGGTCAATTTTACAGGCAAACTCCCAGCCAACCCAAGATTAGTTAATGTAGTTCTGAGGTAGGGTCACTGCACCCGAAACGTTAAACTCTGATTTCTCTCCACAGATGCTGCCAGACCTGCTGAGCTTTTCCAGCAATTTCTGGTTTTGTTAGTTAAAGTAGCATCAACCTGCGAATCAGAGAGTGGGCTTCTCAGCTACTCACTACCTTCAGCCATTGGAAAGCTCAACCTTTAAATATTTGCTTGCATCTAACAGCTCGTGATCATTAACAATCCGTGAGAATGCAGCAGAAACTGCTGCCAGAAACATTTCCAGACAAAGTTCAATGCACGAGCAACCTGTCACAGCCAGGAAATGAGCCATCAAACCACAGCTGGTTCCAAAAACTCAAACTTGCTTTCATTTATATCTATCACGCCAAGTATTGCAATTGCACTTCTTTTCAACCATCATATGAGTTAAACGTCAATCTGAGGGATGGCGGCAAATGAACTGTTACAACTTGTGGCTTAGGCAGTCATTGTATTGCTTTTAGAATCATAGGATCCCTACACTGTAAAAGCAGGCCATTCGGCCCATTGAGTCCACACTGCCCCTCCGAAGAGCATCCCACCCAGACCCACTCCCTACTCTATCTCTGCATTTCCCACCCTAGACACTATGGACAATTTAGTACAGCCAATCCATCTAACCTGCACATCTTTGGACTGTGGGAGGAAACCGGAGCACCCGGAGGAAACCCACGCAGACACGGAGAACATGCAAACTCCATCAGTACTTATACGCTTAATGGTAGGGCACTGGGGAGTGTTGCCAAACAAAGAGACCTTGGAGTGCAGCTTCATAGTTTCTCGAAAGTGGAGTTGCAGACAGACGGTTGCCCGAGGCTAGAATCGAACCCAGGTCCCTGGCGCTGTGAGAGAACAGTGCTAACCACTGAGCCACTGCACCATCCCCAAGTACAACTGAGGACAACCCTGCTATAGCACCTGCATCTGTCTTGGAGCAGAGTGTGGGAAAACTTTACAATTGCATACTCTGTTGCCACGGCATCCTTTGCCAATCAAGATAAAAAGTAGCTTCCAGGGCAATGAATGAAGTGAGAGAAAGGCAGTGCTTGCAAAGCAAATACAAAGACAGGATTTGCACTGGCTAGTGACAGTCAGAAATGGGGGTGTGCCAAAATCTTCCAGGCAATGCAAGTAGCATCATGTCAGCTACGTCAGTAATAGAAATGATAAGCGCTGGAGAAACCTAGCCAGTCTGGCAGTACTGTGGCAGGGGATTAAAAATTGTGAGACAACAAGGTGCAGGGCTGGATGAACACAGCAGGCCAAGCAGCATCATAGGAGCAGAGAGGCTGACGTTTCGGGCCTAGACCCTTCATCAGAAAAGGGCGAGGGGAAGGGGGTTTTGAAATAAATAGGGAGAGAGTGGGAGGCGGATAGAAGAGGGATAGAGGAGAGGATAGGTGGAGAGGAAACAAACAGGTCGAAGAGGCGGGGATGGGGCCAGGAAAGGTGAGTGTAGGTAGGGAGTTAGGAAGGGGATAGGTCAGTCCAGGGAGGACGGACAGGTCAAGGGG